TGCACTTTTGTACCTGGTCAAAGAGTCCTGGTGCGTAACTACCGAGCTCATCAAGAGAAGTGGGGCCCACAGTTATTGTTCAATGGTTAGGTTCACTGGGTTACCGTTGTATGTATAGGAGAAAATACCAGATATGTTCATGTGGATTGTACCTCATAATGAAGAGAACTGTACTCCAGAATCACATGAATCAACATGGGATCCTTTTATCACCCATACTACGCTTATTACACCAGAGTCTGATATAAATACAGTCACATTACCATCCCCTATTAAACTGGAAGTTGCTTCACTGGAAACTTCTTCATCGATGTCTTCACCTACTACTCACATGTTTTCCGATATACTGCCCCTGCAGTAACCCTAGAGAGACGTTATCCATTACGACAGAGAAAACCTCCTGATCGGTATCAAAACCAATAATTAAGAATATATTTTTTTTGATTAACATTTCATTTTTTTTAAAGAAGAAGAAGATCTTATATTTGTTAATTAGCAATTATGTGTTGTAATGTAGGAATCCGACTGTAAGTCGGTTCTGTTGTGTAAATACCTGTTACTCTAATAAACGTATGATTACACTGCAGCCAAGTACCGTCTAGTATACAACATTATGTACGATAAAGTTTAGTCTTAACTAAACTAAAAAAAAACGTACACAAATTGCAGTGTTAATTTATCTCTCTGTCGAATATAGGCTGGACTTAATAAAGGCTTAACTAATGTTAGGCCTAAGACAAGTAGACTTGTAGGTTTTCGACGTCTGCAATTATAATTCTTTTATGTTATTCTAGAAATCCTGTATTTAAAGAAGTATTGTTGCAATAAAGATGCAAATTTGACTGCAAATGTTTTGCGGGTCTTTGCTAGTTATTTTTAATTTTATGTGTTATATAGTTCAAAGTATTTTTATTATGTCACGGTGTTATAATATTCTCTTCTTTATTAGAGGTATTGTTGCACAACATAACCGACCTGTATAGTATTTTTACAAATCACATAATGTTCTTTGTGTGTTTCACAGTATCTCTTTTAAATCTATAATAGCCTGTATTTAGGTACGAAAAAGACGGCAGCCCAAACATTATCTATCAATATATTAAGTTATTTTGGTAGCATATAAACCTTTCATATTTAGTATACCTTTTGATTGCCATTGTCATTTTATACTTATTTTCTACCTTGGATTAACAGACGAAGATATGCACGTGTGAACAGCGATAGATAAAAATTTCATGAAAAAGTACTATTCATTATTAGATCAATATCTGAATCCTAGTAATACAACTAAGTGAATACTTCAAGTCCTAGTTAAATTATTTCACATTTGCTATAGATATGTAGTTTCAATGTCCTTTGTAGTTGAGGTGAAATCTACATTGGAGAAACGGAAATATCACTCGGAAGTAAACACAACATGCTGCTGCAACAAGGCTTTTACGCTCGGAAAAATCCACCACAGCTGAACACCTTACAAAACGGGACACTCAAGTCAACGGCACAAGTTCACAATTTTACATACTATACAATGCTGGAGACGTTAAAAAAGTAAACAAAGTCTCAGAATAAAAACCAATCAACCAAAAGTGAACTGAAATCAAGGCCAAAAACTAGCGATATCTGGAACCAATTACACAGAAACTTAACAACTGGATAGCTCTTTTCATAGCAAGCACATATAACAAAGGACTTTGCCTGTAGCTATTTTACATCAGACCACTTATTGAATATGGTTGCATGGTTACATGCAACATGTCCAACAATCTAATAGAGAAACTCGAAGCCCTACAATATCAAACAATTCGAACAGCTTTCTGGTTACCAAAATACACCCCACCGAGGTACCTAGATTTACTTAATATAATACCCAGCCTCAAAGAAAGAATTCAAAAATTATCCAAAAGATATTAACTAGTACAAGAAACATATTAACACAAGAATTTCCAATGTTAGCAGCAACACCTGACACATGGCGCTCCCATCTGCCTCCGTATTATATTTGTAGTTATTAATATTTAGTGTAGTAACCATCTATGTCTTTCATCCCTTGTTTCAGAACCACAGCTCAGGCACTACCCGGATAGAAAATACGGTGTCCAGATAGTGAAAATGGGTTTTACTCGGGGTACTCCCGTTCTCCTCCCACAACAAAATTCAGGGTATAGGATTTATAGATCCCCACCCGTCGGTTTGTGTACTACTCCCTAACCGCGATCGCGAACAAACGCCATCGTTGGTTCTCCCTGCGTTTTGCTTACCTAAGACACTCCATAAGGAAAGTATCAGGATCATTCACATGCTCAAATCTCTCTCTCTCTCGGTTTTTTTTTCCTCATCATAAGTCTAAATCCTTTCACGGGTGGAGGTGAAGAGAAAAAGTTTTCAGAACACCCCCGGTTGCATTCAATCCTAAACCCTAGGTTTGGTTTTTGAACGTTTTAAATCAAAAATTAGTATCATGATTTTTTGTTTTTGTTTTATCTATTTTAAAACCTGAGATTCATTAACAGTTGTTGAAAGCGCATCTCCGAGAACGAGAGAAAATACGGCGAAAAGAAATAAAAAATCATGCGAGACACAAAATGTAGATATTTATAGGAGGACAATTTAATAGTAAATATAAACGTATGCTTTTCAGAGGGCAGAAAAACTCTAAAAGTCGGTTAATGTGTTGTTTAGACCAGAGACTCATCGTAGTTGTGCAGAAATGTAAATATGAATAGGTTTTTCGTGTTGTTGTTTTTTTCAAGTTACACTAAATAAATGTTACAAAGTGACCCAATATGTCAATTTCAAAATATTTTCGAGTTAAAAATTGTTGAAGTAGAACTGAAATTAGTAACTGTACTTAGGTTTGGAAATTTGATAAGCAGGTCCAGATAGAACTAGTTTATCAATTTAAAATTAAGAATGGCTATGTGCATGTAGCCATTGTGTAGATTTCTGCACAGTTTTGAAACAGGCAAGCAAACTAAGTCCAAAAGATATTCATAAAATTCACTTGGATAATCTCTGTAATAGGAACTCAAAATAGAGAAAAATTATTTTACTCAGCCTAGATGCAGTTGCAGATGAAAAGGTTTGATAAATGTAGGCTTAAGTTTTTTTTTCTTTTTAAAATGATACTTCATTTTCTTGAAATATGCTTTTCTTTGGTTTGATTAATTACTCTGTTGATTAAAGATGATAATACATGAATATTTTTGAAATACTTGAAAGTGTCAAAGATATTTTTTTTTATCAAATATACTGAAATTGATCGCCTTCCAATAGTTAGCGTACAGTATTAAAGATCTATAGTTCTTTTATTCGCGTACCGTTACCGCCAAAAAACAAAATCACGCTCCGCACTTTGAGGCAATGGGTGTGATATAAAGGTGACGGTCAAGTTCCACTATATTCAGTATCCCAAGAATTAGGGGTGACTGTTCTTTATTAACTGCCATCCCTCTAATTTATAAGTTCAAAAGTAGGGACAGCTAGCGGAAAAGCCCTTCAGTAGCTTTGCGCGGATATCCGAAAACAATACCGAATGTACTAAATATTTTTTCCTTAGGTAACTAGTTTGTTCACATGTTTTAAATCCTTGTGAATGCAACATGTATCTTTTATTGTTATAAAAGAGAATAACAAAGCAAACATTCATATTGATTATATTTAAAAAAAATCAGTTGAAATTATTTGTTTTAAAGGGATACATATGCAAGAAAAATATGTAAAATAAAACTTTTGGTCGAATTATAAATCGGAAATTCTTTTGTTAAATTATAAGAGGTAGTATTCGAAAATCACTAACTGATGAATAAAATGTGTAGTTTTTCTTTATAATATGAAACATTTGATTTTTATACACAAATATTATATATCATTATAACGAACCCCTAGTCCGCGGAATTACAACGCTAGAAACCGGGTTTCGATACCCGTGGTGGGCTGAACACAGATAGTCCATTGTGTGGCTTTGTGCTCAACTACAAACAAACGAATATTATAACCCATAAAATAGCATAGTCCAACATGATTTTTTTCAACGTCGAATGAATCTACTGTATGTGTTAAAAAAGAAAAGATTAAAACAAATTCCTGAAAAAAAGTGTTCTGTGCTAGTCATTTTTGGTTTATATTGACTAAATGCTCATTTAAACAGATTATTGAAAACAGCGGCGAAGATAACTGTTTCACATTTAAATGATAATATATGCTTACACATTTTAAAATTGCCACCAATACAATTTATTTGAATTTCAATTACATTTATTAAAGCACATTGCTTTATACATGTCATAATGTTAGAGTAGAGAACTTTACGTAGCTTTAGAAGCTTTCCAAATAGTCATGGCGCGCAGCCAATGCTCTTTAAAGCTTCACATATTATGTCATATTCATGCGCGTGGGTTTATGTGAGGTCTGTGCATGGAAAAAGGCGATAAATGTGGTAATAATATGCGTTTGAATTGTTAAATAAATATTCAGTTGGGTTTCATGAATACTGTACAATTAAAACACTTAATATTGCTATAAAATCAATCTAATCTAAATTAATGTTTCCTCTTCATTATTCGTCAGCAGTGTTTACTCCTCGACTGTCTATAGCAACATGTAGATAAAAATAACTAAGTAGGTTAGCAATTTTTGGATTTCTCCACCCATTTGACAAGCAGAAACGTTATGTTTTAGTATCATCTTAGTTAGCTAGAGTCTCTTAGACCCACACGCTAATAAATAAAAGGATGGGAGAAGAGATAGGCAGAAACTCTTCAAGCAACACAAACCAGAACAATTCGTTTGTTGTCGACGCAAGAGATCAGGGAGAACTGCCTATGCTGGAGGTTACGGTACAGGTTATTATAATATTGTTTGGAATACTTGGTAATGGATTTGTCTTAGGCACTTTAGTACGTCATCGAAAGGTCTGGCTTCTATCACGCGTTCACATTTGTATGTTTCATTTATGCCTTGCGGATGTGTTCGTTATCATTTTTAATATATTTCCTCATGTTATGAAAAAGGTTGTATTGAATTTCCAAGGCAATGATTTTTTCTGTCGTTGTGTGAAGTTCGCAGAAATGTTCACACTTTATCTGTCTGCCTACATCCTTGTCTCCATTGCAGTAGATAGGTTTCTTGCGTTTCAAACAGCAAAAGGATGGAATGCCTTGAAGATAATAAAAGTACTGAACGGAGTTACGTGGGTGATTTCAGGCTTATTTGCGATTCCTCAAACAATATTTTTTTTACTTACAGAAGTACACCCTGGTAGATTCGACTGTCAGGCATCGTTTAGTGTAACATGGGGGCTAACAACATACGTCATATTTTTTGCAGTTACATTATTTGGATTACCTGTTATGGTTATATCTGTATGCTACGCCAAGATTTGTAAAGAGATTCGCAACTACCACGCAAGAGGTATCACGTTTTTAAGAAAATCAAGCAGAAGAAAGAGTGACGTTTCTGAAAGATCTTTCCATTTGGATGCCAGAGACAAACAAAACAGATTAAATAACGATGATGGCAGGGAACACAAGTTCAAGAGGAGAGAAAGACAAGTTGTTAATAAGCGTCGCAGTCAACTCACATACGCCAAAGTCCAATCAGTGAAACTCTCTTTGGTTATAATCATCTCGTTCTTTGTATGTTGGATACCATTTTGTACTGTTCAAATAGTTAATCTTTACAATCCTGGTAAGTTATAGTTCAGGTCTGTAAAATTATTTTGTTCATTAAATGCGTGCATTATGCTTAAAGTAATTTGTTTTACATAGCATGTCTTAAACAGTGGCGTGTTTATAGAAAATTATGCTTATTGAGGTAATATTGGAATATACCCAACATTAATATTGTATATTACAATCAATATGCCTGTAACCCAGCAACGAAGTATCATACAAACCCAAAAGTACTTTTATGCCATCCCGCAGAGATTAACACGCTTTGTTTGTTTTATTTTGGATGCTAACAACTGTGTGCGTGAGCATGTCACGAAAATGTATATATCTATCTATTAGTTTAAAATGGCACAGATCTTAATTACATTAGCTCCATCTCTTTCACATGCTATTTAACTTAACGTCACCGTCAGATTGGAAGATGATATTAAATGAAAATATAATACTTCATTTTTGATTTTAAAATGTATTCTAGCTCTAAGTTCATAAGCGTATATATATTTTCCAATTACGTGACTAACAAATTAACTGTAATATCTAACTCGTTAATTATTGAAAAAGCACTATTAAAACACAAACAGTGTCTACAGATAGCATTTCATAGGGATAAAATCTAAAATAAATTATTATAGTAATGTTAAAAAAATATTATTTTTGTTATACATTTGTCTGCAGCTTGTCATTCATAACTCAAGCTGATGACTTTAATTTTCCGTTTCACCTTCTTTTACTGAATAGTATTAGAAAAAAAAGTAGTAAGTACTAACTGATACCTCAATATTTCTCCATATAGAGAAGAAGATTACTCCAGAACACACGATATTTCTACTACTTGCTAGCCTGAATAGCTGCATAAATCCATTTGTTTACCTAGTTTTCAGTGAAAGCTTACTCAACCAATTAAAAAAATGGTGTGGCATCGGTTTTCCTGGTACATCAAACAGCAATACTGATGGAAACAATGAAGACCATGAAAGCAGCTTAAACGACAGGCTGACATCAACTAAGATTATCTTACCTGGGTCACAACAGCGACTTGCAGCGAAAGAGATTCCCGAGAAGAAGGAGTAACTAATTAAAATATAAAGACATCATTTTGATAACATTTCGAAAACGATTTGCATATTTGATTTTATCTTTTTGCATAGATACTAACGCTATCTGTAAAACAAATACACTCAATCCAATAAGACCATTATGTCAAAGAATCTCTAACATGTGACTAAAATTCTTTTAAGAAGCATAAATCGCAAATGACGTAAATTATTTTTTTTTGTTTTTTGATTATTCAATGATGGCGACTTAGCCTGACAAAACGTTGTGCAAGTGTTTATTGGAGCTTATTTATGTTTGAGTTGTTTTAACAACTTCAGTCCTTGGTGTTCAGACTTAGTTCAAATGTAAGTATTTCAAGGCGGAAATTAAAAGAAAAACGTCCCTGCGATAAAAAATTTAATGAAAAATAACGCGGTGGGATATTTATTTATCACGATATCGCTCCCAGTTTAATTGAAAGTTAGTAATTTAGTTTCATCGTTGTTCTTGTTTAAGTTAAGAATGTCAATTCTCAGGTTTTTACCGAATTGTATGAGTAACGTGTTGAATAATTTAAGATGGATTTCGGCCTCATTTATCTTTTAAGGAAATTCATCATCTTGGTGAAAATTATTGAACTGTTATTTATTGTTACTATAATACCAAAATGTACAATGCTAATCTACAGTGTCACACATTCTATCTTATATTAGCTGACGTACCTATTCAACGTACAGTTGTCCCCGAAGAGTGCTATAGAGGCCAATTCTAAATGCCGGCTACAATATTACACCCGAGAGGCCTAAAAGTACATGCTAAATTGGGTTGACATCAATCAAAACTGTAGGCGTGAGAGACGGACATAAAGACAGATAGGGGATTTCTGACGAGTGACATTAGGGGTGGTCAGATACGAACGCCATCCTCCTATGTCGCTTCCTGGAATGTCTTAATGGTGTCTTCGAAGTTTAACAGAGATCAATAGAATAACACGTAGAATACATAAGGACGCACAGGAGTGACATAGGGGGATAGATGGTCCAAATCGTAACGTCCATTCCAATACCATTTTCCGGGGTGCAACAAGAGTGCCTTAGAAGTTTGGTGAAAATAAGTAGAATAGCAAAGGGAATACATAAGGACTATTGGGAAGTATCATTGGAGGGCTAGGTCAGAACAGCGATCCCTGTTTGTTACTCTTCTGGGAGCCCTAAGATCACATGCTAAGTTTGATTGAAAAATCAACTATATAAAGAAAGGCAGACAAACAATTTCCCTCTACTAATGACATATGGGTCAGATCCGAACGCAGACCCCTATATAACATCCTGGGGGTCAAAAGGGTCAAAAGGTGTCGATGTGAAAAGCGAACACACATTAACACCAACAACATAAAGACTTACCTACTATTGCTATTGATAAAATACAACTATATTTATAAAGAATAATGCCAATTAGTTTTTCATATATATACATTGGTAATTAAAGCTCTATTTTACTTTACTTTAACTGCAAAAATTGTATTTATTATTGTCTTATTTTAACTGATGTTGGGTGTAATATTGTTATGATATTCTAAATTATGTGTTCAGTTTGCGAAATTATTTCATGGCAAGTAACGTGATATTCTAAGATTTATATTTTCACACATGTTGCTTTATTTTGATACTACCAACGCTTTTAATAATTTTAATCAAACTCTATACTTTCATTAAATATCAGTTGGTGTAATCAATAAGTTCAAAATTAATTAAAGCACTCAGTAAAAATACAGTTGTTTAGTGGATTTCTTTTAAATTAGACAATCCACATATTCTATAATACATCCACGTATCATGTTACTATTACTGAGACATTCACCAAATATATTGTCTCTTCTGAATCAGGGAAAAACAAAAATATAAAATGTTCAAGCCGATGACTTGTCAAATATTTTAAAGTATTACAAAAAGGACAATTTAGCACAAACTTTAAAGTCGAAAATGTAAACTTTGCAAATAAAATTTCTTTAAGGTTCCCCTTTGTGATATTTACGTGTGATAAAATAGAAATATATCTACAATGTCTCCGACTAATGACATATGGATCAGATCCTGGGAGTCTTAACGGTGTATGCAAATTTTGTTTGAGATTGGTCAAAAAGTGTAGATGTGGTATTGCTTTATTTATAAGTTAGCTAAATGTGTTTCCCTGCGTTATGTGTTGTTATTCATAACTGGTTACCTTGTCAAATAATGCAACAATTTAAGAAACAACAACAAACTTCTTTCCGACATATATAGACCAACGAATAAGTTAGCCAGATGTTCAGTATAACGAAAGACGAAACTGAAGTAATGCAGGAAACTGAAACATATATAATAATATGTGAATGTGGGAATATTTATATAACACAAACCACAAGAAATTTAAAATACAAAAATAATGAACTCAAAATAAATATTAAATATAATAGTAAGAAGACCAAACCTTTAGCTAAACATACTCGTGACATTTAACTCATGATTCAATGTGAAAAATACTGTTATTTTGGCACAATCTACGAGCATTAATGATAATAATTATTTATGGGTCTATAGAAATAATGAAATATAATGAAAATGATTTCAAAATACTAAATAAAGATGAAGGATGAGTGGAAAATGCTGGTGAAAGTTGGTGAAACGTTGTAATAAAATATAAGTATTACACTGTAAAACCGATAAAACTTAAACAGCCTAGAAATATTGAAAGACAAAATTAAACATGGCACATAGATAAGTTTCCATGTGCCATAACAACTGTTAAGCAAAAAAATAAAAAAAAGACATAAACATATTTAAGAAAGGTATAAGTTTTGAATAGATACATATTTTAAATAATGCTGTTGTTATATTATATAGTTGGACATGAATGAAACAAAAACCTACGAAGCAGAACATGAGTTGTATTTAGGTTTAACGTAAATAAGTGTAAAACATGGAATGACTATAATCGAAATATATATATGAACACAAGATTTGTTGTATAAACAACTTGTCTTTCTGGATAATTGCCATCTTTGAATAATATCTTGAAAAGCTACGTTATAAAATTGTGAATTATGAATTTTAAATCATGATTTCAAAATTAGTAATTCGTTTGTCGCTATTTCACTTACTTTTCTCTTCACTTCCATAAAGTTCGTTTGTCGCTATTTCACTTACTTTTCTCTTCACTTCCATAATTGTATCAACTCTTCGTTTTACTCTCCCCTTAAATATCAACAAAGCGTCTGGTCCACTCCCACCGGTAACTGAAATGGTGCAATATTTTAATATTACCCAAGCAGGTAAACTTGTTCTTCGAGTACGAAGAGTATTTAAATTTTAAGCCTAATTGTCTATTTTTAGGCGCCTATTGGACTTTTTATTAAGATGTAATGGTATTGCGTTATATATAAGCCACGGAAAGGTAAAAAGTTAGCTAAATGTGTTCTCTGCGTGTTTGTTTATGTTACTGAAGTAATTGTCTTTAAAGTTAATGTTGTAAACCTCGTAGTTTTGTACTCATATATAATGTTACGACAGCTGAAGTCGCGTGACACCTGATGAATTTCTCGAATGATCATGAATGATCGGGGACGCCCGAGTGTATTCGAGATGTCCCTTCGTTAGTATATAAGCCTGGCAAAGAAGCGAGCCATAGATAGATAATTAAAGAAGCGAAGAATAGTGACGGTAGTATAAGGTGTGTGATTGTACTCGAAGAGAGCGAAATTATCGAGATTATGAATCACCGTGATTTATGTGTATTATGAAAGTTGTTAAATTTAAAGTGATGAGAAACGTAATGATTATGAAATTATTGTGTGCTAAAAGTTTGTATCGAGAAAGAATAAACTGGTTTAATCAAGAAGGGACTTGTATCGCTGAAGTTCCTCGGAAATAATTTATACCGGAAATTAACAAATTGGTGTCAGAGAGTGGGGAGGAAAAGAAACGAGAAGTGGCAAATCAAACTACAACCTAGCAGATTTGGTGACAGCAATACAATAACAGCAAAAGAAACAAAAAGAGAGACTACAACAGTGACTACAAATCTTATTTGCCCTATCACTAGCAGCAGCAAATTGCTTGGGTGGTTTAAGAGACTGATTAACCATCACAACAAGGTTATTAAGGTTATTCACTTCCAAATTATACTTATAATTCAAATTATAGTAACCCGCATGCATTATGTGGCACCTTGTCAAATGTTTTCCGAAAAATCTAGATACACCAAATATTCACCCTTACATAAGCAGTAACCCTTTCAAAGAATGTCAAAAGATGTATAAGGCAAGATTTTCCCTTAGTGAAACCATGTTGACCACCCAATAAAATTCTAAACTTCTAAAAGCATATTTTATCAAACTTTCCAAAACTTTTCCCACAACTGGTGTAAGACTAATGGGCCTATAAATTAATGGGACAATTTTTATTGTCTCTCTTGGATATGTATGTCTACAGTGTTGTTCATTCCACTGTTTGTGGCTCTATAATCATATCGATCTTTTGTTTTTGATTGCATCGCCAGTCGTTTTCAAACAGCTACACGTCCACTGTACATTATTTATTTGTATGTTACTGTTATAAAGGTAACACTTAAACCTGTATTTATATCAAGGTGATTGGCGAGATCTGTACTCAACAATCGAGTGTCTCATAAAAACATACTCTTGAGACACATAAAATCACTTTCGGAGAGTTTCAGTTTTCTACCTCGATCATTTCTATTATTAGCAGAGTGTGCATGGCCAACCAAAACTTTGACACATACTCTTTTGTCATGTGGTATTTCGCCTCTAGGAATCACTGGAAATACAATAATACTGAGAATAATATGACTGTCTGTACTTTTATAGGCTTTATACTGGTGTGGCACTTTCTGATTATCCCATGTAAACTATCAACATGTGACTACTCTGATGCAGTTAATTTGTACATAAAAAAGGAGTAGTATTCCTATAATATTTGTCCTTTGTAACCCATTTCCACACTATTTTTATAATTATTTCCAATACTGTATGTTCACTG